TAAGCCCCTCGTGAGGCAAATTAACAATGTGCTTTGGCACCTTGGCTGGAAGCTGAAACACTGTTTCTGCAAAAATTGGGTGCATAGATTAGCATTGATGCTTTTTGCCCTGTGACCAACTGGCTTTGTTTGTTCACCCGAGCAGTATAGAGTGCATAGTGATGAGGCCGAGACCGACGTGAATGTTTGATGCCCAAGCCAGGCCAGCAGACTTGGTTGCGTCCACGCTATGGAGAGAGTTGACTGGGTGAAACGAAACCTTCTTGCCCTATTATCACTTCAGCTGCTACTGCTACGTTTACCTTAACTTCAGAGATCTTCAGAGCTTTGCGTGGATTGCATGGACTATGAACTTGTCATCTGTGCACTTTCATAGATCTGAGAGCTGATCAACTTAGTAACTTGTCCTTGTCAGCCGCTGCACCATCAAAGCTGCTTTGCATTGACGCTCTTTTCCTCTTGAAGCAGTATGGAGTTCCGCTTGCTTGGCGCAACTGCCTGGGCCAGAGTACTTCTGTCGCTGCTTGTGATTCCGAAGGTGTGCATGGGTCAAATCACATGTTTGGCCATTAATCCGGTGGAAAAAACATAGTGCGAAATGAGCTACTTCCACTTTGGGACACCCAATTTTATCCATGTTGACCCTATACCTAGGTGCCGGCCTATGACTTCCAGTACTTCCTGCCCCAGGAGTTTCTCTCTGATCTTCCTTTGAGAGAAGGCAGTTTTGGGGCCGAAGTCATCCAGTACCTGCTGATGGCCAACCCCCAGGACCTGCATCATGAGAAGGTGGATTCAGGGTGGTTCTATGATGTATTTGCAGACTCTGATTTCAACTCTCCAACTTATCGCTCCAGACGGAACGTCTGCGTCCGAGTGCCTGTTGGAAGCAATCCTCGTGGTGCACCGCACATGTGTGAACATGAAAATGCACAGGCACCACAAGCTGAGATTTTGAAGGCTGCAGGTGGAGAGGAAATAGGCAGATTCATGCTGTCGGCAGAGTTTGAGTTCAGCGCGCCTGGCCATCTCAAGATCGAATCAAAAACCTGCTGTATTGTCTGTTGGACGGACAAAGTCTGCGATGACGATGTCACCATCACAGGAGTGCTTAGGGTGCAGAGTTTGGTGCATGTCCGAAATGCACAAGGAAGTTTGCAACTGCAACCAGAAACAACAGTGTCCTGGCCTGCTGCTCCGAGAGTGGATGGATGTGATCCAGATTGTCTTGTAAGATTATTTGCGAATTGGCACTCTGACTTGTCAGATGGAGTCAAAGATGCTCTTCAGAAGTATGTCGAGCAGAACTTGCAGCAGGGGCATGTACTGCCGCAGACCATGTCTTTGCACCCGGAGCTCAACTTGACATACCAGCTGAAAGATTTGCAGTTTGTGCATTCCAGCACACCTTCTAACCAAAGCTATGTGATTGCGCATGCCACATGCACTGTAGATGCAAGGGCAGCCAACGGCAGTGTCCAAGCCTTTCCAGATGCAGCTGCATCTTGGACTGGTAAACACAACGCGCTGCCAATGGATGATCCGTGGAGACGAGCCGTGGGAACTGGCTCAGAGCAGCTGGTGCTGCTTGGGGGAGCGCGCTTTAGCGAAGAGCTCCTCACAATGCTCGCCCGCGGTATGCACTATGCAGGCATGCTCCGCCCTCACAACTCGAGCACTGTGAAAGATGCTCATCTCTACTCCTCTATTGACATGTCGTGCCCCGAAGTTGATATTTCCAAAGAAAGGGCTGGAGTTGTCATGAGGCAAGACCACCTACACTTGCAGATAGATTGCGATGATAGAATGGCTGGCAACGCCACAAACTTCAGCTTGATGAATGCCACCTTCAGCAATGTCCTAGAGGAAATCTCTATTTCTGCCTATGTACCGAACGACCACACAGCTGGAATCGTCCTTCAAGTCTTAAATGTGAGCATGGGAAGTGCCAATGTGTCTACTTTCCATTCTCCTGCCTTCTTGGGTCCAGGCAATGAATTGAAGGCCTTGGCGCTCCATGCAATGCGGAAAGGCCTCCCTCTCATGAACGACCAGCTCAGCAGCACTCCCATCATATTTTGCGGCGGTGGATCGTCAGCTTGTGCCTTGGTTCCTTTTGCACCCCATCCTGCAGTTAGCACAAGTCCGCGGGGGAAGATGAAGCCCGGCTATGTGCAGCTGATTTGGCATTGCCAATGTGGAAGTTCTGACTTCTATGAATCATGCTCCGGCTTTCAATGTCCTGAGATGCAGCTCAAGACCAGACTCACCAGACCACTTGAAGTGAGACAGCTTCATCAACTACGTCGCAGCGCAGCAGAAAGCCCAGCTTCCAAAAGACCCACTTCGACCGGGGCTTGGGTGAGCTTATTTTCAAACCAGCTGTGCAACTTCGTTTCTGGCGAGAGCATCCTTTTTGCAAATGTAGCGGATGAAACTTGTGCAGTCAGTGATCATCCACCTCTAGCTCCAGCTTTCAGGCTCCGGAGCTACAAACATGGTTGGTACCTCTACTCTGGCTGCAGATCAAGTAACTGTTCAGGATGTCGTTTGAAACGCTGGATTCCTTTGCGGAGATGCACCTGCCTGGCATCAAGTGTAAGTGGCCCCTGCATTGTCCTGTCGTCAACAACTGATGGATGTGTCCCGTGCTTGCATGTGCATGTTCTTTGTTGATTGGCAGTTCAAGAGCTGGCGCCAAATATAATACTATTAATACTGAGGGTGGTGTGAGCCTCCTTTCAATCAGAGAAAAGTTCCACCGGATTTGGACTTTCATAGCCCACAGAGGGAATTTGTTAGGGATAGAACATTGTCCATTATTTTCCCACACTGGAATCATTTGTCTAGCCCAGGTGGGTGGTTTGCAGAGCTATCCGGCAGAGGAACCCATTTTGGGTTCCCTTCAGAACAGCAGGAAGCAGGGCGGGTTACTGGCATCTTGCCATCATGTGTGACTGGTTGAGTAATGTTGAGTAGAAATGCGTCCAACGCCATGGTGTTTGATGTAGCTAGATTTGGTGTGTTACTGTCTGAAGTCAGATTGGTGCTTGCTGTCCACTTGAGCTCGTGCAGGAGCCCCTTCATAAGGGCCACAAGAGTCGATAAGTGCAGCGCGTGTGGAATGGAAGGGGACCTGGCATGCGAAGCCTTGCCGCGAAAGGAGGTCGAGCGGGTTTGGATTATCAGGGCTGGTGTGACATGATGATGTTGTATCACTTAGTGTAGCCCGATCGAAATTGAAATTTTGGATTAGCTGATTTTCAACCACTTCAAAGATGTCCATTCCACGTTAGATTGGTTCTGGGACCGTGGTGAGCCCTGACCGAAGGTGCATTGCAATCTTTTCTGCGAAGATTGCTCCGCCCGGTCATGCGCTTTGAAGAATGTTTCCCTGGGAAAGCACAAGGTGCCAAAGACGCATCTGGGCAACCACAGCGGGTATTCAGAAGTCGTACTAGCAACTCTGAGCACATTGCCCATCCTACAAGCGTGTGCGGAAGGTCCTGATGTTCCAGATCCTGATCTTCCGGACCCAACAAACACAGCACTATGGGAGTTGATTGTAGCCTTGCCAATGCTTGGGCTTATGGGACTGCTCTTGTGCTTTCGTGGCCATGTACGGGGCAGCTGCTTGTGGGCTTCAAGGCTCCGATTGCGGGTGGGCGTGAGCAGAGATCGCCTCAAAGAGGAGAACATTTTCCACGGCAGCCTTCTGTTAGGATCTGCCCTTCTTACAGCTTGTGGGCTGGTTTGGATGAAGTGCAATCCATTGGCAGGTCAATTGAACTACATCGAGGAGACGATGGACACAAGCAACTTCGATTGGCTTGCTGCAAATCGCATTGTAGAGACATCTCGCTACAGGGGCGCTATGATTTTCTTCATTTGCGCTGCAACTCTGTTGCTTGTCTCTCTTCTTGGGTGTTTGCAGCATGTGCGTATTCGCTGTGGCACAGTTGCGCCGCAGGAAGGTGTTAGCACGTCGACAGGTTCAGGCTGGAGATCTCTGGTGGTGTTTCTACTCACAGAAGCAGGTGCTGCCGTTTCTCTCCTTGCTTTTTGCTTTTGGCAGGAGGAGTTCTCCACTTCCTTTGAGAAACAGAAACACAGTGCTAGTGATTTGGGTTTCTTGTCTGGAGTTGTGGCATCATCTGCTTCCGCGGCCTTTTGCATCAGAGTTGTCCTCAGCTGGATAGGGCCTGTGATGATAAACCTCAGCCTGTCGAATGCAGCGGTTTTGTTGGCGGCTTCTGTGCGGAAGGCACGGGCAGCGCCCATGAACCCCAGTGGACCAAGTCTCAATTCCTTGGTCTTGGGAATGTTGCTGATTCAGCAAACTACCATATTGATTCTAGCGATTGCCTACTTCCACTCTGGCTATGCTTCGGCAATTTTGCTCTGGTTTCTGGTTTGCAGTAATTGAAAAAAGTGCAGAGAACCATGGTAACAGGTGACCAGATGTAGGTTCGCAGGTTTGGCAATCTGACACGTAAGACGTAAGCGGCGGGTGAATGATCCTCAATATGTCTGTCATCTTAAGTCTTACGGCCTACGGTCTTTGGCAAGTGAGGTTGGTCATATGCAGTGGGATTTTGAATGCGGTGTGGTTTTGCTGTCTATCATCAGCTGGCGGCTTCGCGCAGAGATGGTTGTTGTCCTACGCGGGCAGTTTGTGTACGTTGCAAGCATGTCTCAATGCCGCTATTGGGTGGCTTGTGGCTGAGACCAAGCTGATCATTAGATCAAAAAGGTTTTTTGACATTGCATGGTCTGGTTTTGGCCTGATTTTTGCTTAGACTGACTTCTTGGGTGATTTTTAGGGACAGGATGGATAGAGACAGGATAGAGTGGACAGTCCCTTAAAACTAAAATTACCACATTGACATTCGTTTCAGATTTCAGAACTGCTTTGCACGAGAGCCTCAGTTGCATGCAAGGATGGTTGGCTTCTCCCCTTCTTGGTTTGCTCCGCTATTACGACAGTATGCCTGTCATCCTTGGCTGTATTGCTCTTTGGTGGTTTGGGACCTCCCCGAGTGCAGAACCTTGTGATGCGCAACGGCGATGCTTGGCGGGTATGCAGCAAGTCACACAAATCTTCCGCCAATCTTTTTCCCCCAGCAAGTAACTGGGAAGCACCCTCAGCCTTCCACCATGCCTTGCTTTGGTGTGATTTCAGGAACCAATACACCTGGCGCAAGCTGACTGTGTTTCGGTGCTGACCCTTTTCATCCGTTGCATGTTGGAGAAGGAAGAGGCCAAGTCATCACGATTTGGAGCGCGAATCAAATGGCGGAGACTTTGCGCAGTGTTGGGGTGTCTTGGTTTGTTTGTTGGCCTTCTGCGAAACATCTGGCACAACCTTACCCACACCGCATGGGATGACTTGAACAGTCTGGTTGCTTCATGGATTGGCTCAGATGCGCTGATCCCTCATGATTCCAACTCTGTGCTAAACCCACTGGTGGACGAGTACGCTTCAGCTAGAGCTGCATGGCAGCTTTGCAGCATGGTAGGCGCGGGGTGCTTTGCCCTGGCCATGCTGTCAGACATGCTGGGCTCGAGCCTCGCCATGCGATGTGGCATTCCTGCAGTCAAGTTTCTGGCCTGGTCCAGGAGGCTAGGTTTTCTGGGAAGCCTTGGATGTGCGCCAAGCAAACTTTGACAATCTTTCGTAGATTTTGGTTGGATGTTGGTTTGATCTATGACACTATGATGATTACATATATCATATATAATTTTGAAAGTTAACTTCCAATACATAATGTTATTCTATCAGTTTCTTATAATCATGTGAGGAAGCTTCTTCTATGCTGGTGGGCTGCTGGTGTTCAATCTCCCAGACTATGTGGCCTTGCTGGATTTCGGATCGCTTGAGCGCTGTGGCAGCGAGTTTTGCAAAGCCTTGGCTGGGTCTATGAAGTCGGCTGTTGGGTCTGGGCTTTTGGCCAAAGCTGGCATGGAATTTCTACCTCTTCTGGCTGCTGGGTGTGAGTTTTGGATATCTTTCAAGTTTCTGCTGATAATAAAGAGCTCTTGTTGGCAGTTTTCAGACACATTCAAAGATGGCAAGGTTTGCTTGGCTTGGACCTCCTTTCGAATTGGCTTCTTCTTGGCTTCAGATCCCAAGAATGCGCATTTGGTCAACGCGCTCATGTGGGTGACTTTGAGCAGCATGCTCCGGCTGTCCCCCTTGGCAGGGACCGTTGCTTTCATTGCTTCTCCCAAGACAGAGGTCGTTGGTTGGTTCACGGCGTTCTTAATCCTGCCTGCCTTGCTCCTTGGCATCATCGTGAAGTGTAGATTAACTCACTTGGGCTGGTACTTCCTGTGGGGCTGGGTCTTCTACCTCGTGCCTCTTCTGGTCATGGCTTCATATGCCTTGGGCATGGATTTCCTGACCTTGATCAGCAAGTTTTTCAATTACCTGAGGGAGGATTGGCCGAGCTTCCTGGCAGAGTTCTTTCTGTCTGATGTGGTCATTTCAGACCTCTTCTTCACTATGGTCTTCACAGGGGTTTGAGGCAGTTGTCAGCGGCAGCATTCTGTGGTACGTCGAATCAGACATGAGTCATGTCCTGCGCTATTAATTCGTAGTAACAGTTTCATATTAGTGAGGAGTGGCAATGTGGGGTCCTTTGGTTCTGCTTTGTTTCCAGGCAAAGGGCACGATTGTGGCTGTTGCTTGAGACTCCTTTCATCAGTGCCAGCCTCGCTACAAGAATAGAGTCTGACCAGTCAAGAGCACTGGCCAGAGAGGACGACCACTGGATAGCTGAACAGGAAGAAGTTTGGCGCGTTTGCCAATGGATGTCAGTTGCGCATGCGGGAAAGCCGATTATTGTAGGAAGCCACAGAATTTCATGATATCACATGATATTTTATGAACCATACATTCTTTTCTGAAAGACAGCACGGTCAGTGCAGCAAGGCTGGTGAATTCGGCTAGTCTTGAGGAAAGGAGGCGCGAAGAATAACAGATTGCTTAATGGGAGAGTCGCAGTGGACAAGCGAGCTTTGAGAGGGATATATATATATATAATATACAGTCACATACAGCCGCCTTACAAACTTATGAATATTGCGAAGCCCACCTTCTAGCTTCATTTTTGGCAGGCTTAAAATCACGAGTAGGAAACGCTCTGCTGACGCCACAGCAACTGAACTTGGGGTCAAGACTTACGAAGAGGCTGCAGCAGGGATGTATATAGAAAGGTCGCAGTGTTGGGGGATCAGTGGCCTTGCAAGAAAGCAAGTGGATCCTGGATCCTCCAATTTTATGAAACAAGATCAGGCACACTTTGCGAATCTTGCAGAAGCAGATGACCGAACTCAAACCAAATAGAGGACGCAACATCATGAATCATCATAGTCCCATATCATTCAGTACGCCACTTGAGATTTTGGTGCGGGTGCTCTGGCGCAGGTCTGCTTTGCCCACATCCACCTCTTGGTTTCGGTGCGGCCGGGTCCTTGATTCCACACCACTGGCCACTGAGTGGATAAAGTGACGATGAAGCAGTGGAGGATTTAGCATGGTCTTCCCGTCTATTGGCGCCCAATTACCTGGAGTCTGCAAAGCTAGGTAAATTTTACTAATCCTAAATAATAAATTTACTAAAAGTGAAGAATTTACGTAATTGTTTTTTGGTTTTCTTGATATTAGTAAATTGTGTGAAAAATAGAAAGTGCATCAAAAGTGCACATTTTTTCAATCTAGTTTCCAAGAATTTGATAGTTGGAAAGACATCCATTAACATATTTTCCATTATTTAGTGAATGTCGTTAATTCAGAATGCTCAAGTTAATTGAAACATGTATTTTGCTTATCTGTATGTTCAAAGTATATGGCAAAGTAAAGCCAGAATCTTAGCAAGTGAAGTGACCACTCAAGTAAATCTTTTTTTGGAAACCTACATTGGGATTTACATGGTATCTATACCAAGTCCGAAATCGTTAGTGGAATTTACAGAAGAAATTGACATTGTAATTTACATGAGTGACCGAGGAGCATTCCAGTTTGGAATGACAAACAATTACGTAGATTGCAAACATAAAAACAAATCATAAATCAAAGCGGGAAGAACTAAACCATATCTATGAAAACTTTGTTTGATAACGAAAAGATATGGAGTGGCATTTTTTGGTGGAATTATCTTTCGTTTTTTTTTGTTCTTGTTTTTCAGCCTGGCTTCCTGGCTTGGTTTTTGTGGTTTTTGGTTTCTTGGCTTTAGTGGCTTTAGTGGCTTTTGGTTTCTTGGCTTTAGTGGCTTTAGTGGCTTTTGGTTTCTTGGCTTTAGTGGTTTTTGGTGTTTATGACTTATAAAGTATGCTGCAACTGTTTTTGCGGCTTTTGTGGCTTCTCGGCTTTTGTAGCTTTTGTGGCTGTTGTAGCTTTTATTTGTGGCTCTTGTGGCTTTTGGTTTCCTAGCCGTTTTGGAGTTGTTTTGCTTGTTGGCTTTTGCGGCTTTGTAGTTTTTTACTTCTGAATATGTACAAGTGCCCTAACTAGCTCTTTTTCAAGCTCTGAAAACAGTATTTCAGGACACTTGTTGAAATTTATTCTCCAACTATATCTACTTGATTTGTGTTCCACCACGTTTTCCATGACTGTCATGCTTCTGCCTCAACCTACGTTCTATATGGTCACAAGAATTGCAGGGTTCACTTGTTCGCAGGCACGGAAGTGGTGGACTTGGGAAGCCCTTGAGTCGGCCGGAATGCAAGGCAGCCCTGCAGAGCTCCACATGTTTTCCAACAGGCGCGGCATTAGTCATCAGCCCTTGCGCCACCAACATAAAGATCAGCTAGGCTAGACAGGTGCGAAACGGATCCGCACTGCCCCAAGTGTATGGAGCAGGGTTGTAAGTTAGGCTTTCATTCTTGAAGGTACGTCTCAGAACATCCCTTGAAGATGATGATGCGGGGGCATTTCAGAGCATCCACAATTCTCAACAAATTCTTTGTCATGTTGTGTCTTTGTTTTACAGTGAAACTGAGACATTAAACCTCCGAAGTTTCGCAAGCTTGTAGTGAGAAGTTGAACTGTCGATAATTTTAGCTGGTCACCTAGCTGCTCTTTGCCGCCCAACCAACAAGTGCGTTTTGTATTTAGGGCTGCAACGTTGCAAAGCCACATGTGGAGCAAGACGTGCATAATGTATGCAATCCGATTGCGACGAAGATGCGACTTGTAGCATGTTCCATTGAGGTTGCAAAACGCGCGGTATTTGAATTTAAAAAACGCAGCCACTTGCAGCCACTTGCAGCCACTCGAGTGGCCGCAAGTGGCCGCAAGTGGCCGCAAGTGGCCGCAGGGGGCTGCTAGAGCAAGTGGCCGCAAGTGGCCGCAAGTGGCCGCAAGTGGCCGCAGTGGGCTGCTAGAGCAAGTGGCCGCAGTGGGCTGCTTGGCATTGGATTGCAAATGCCAGTCCCGATTGCTCCACTCCTCAAAACTTGAAAAAAAAACAGTTTTCCCGCGAATCGCATTTTTTTCAATTTTGCCTGGCAACGGGATTTTAGGATCTGCTAGAGCAAGTGGTCTTGCGGCCACTTGCAGCCACTTGCAGCCACTCGAGTGGCCGCAAGTAGCCGCTTGAAACGAAAGGAAGGAAGTAACGAATGTAAGGGGAGAATTGCAACGAAAGGAAAGGCCAGAGGTGAAACGAAAGGAAGATTGTAACGAATAAAAGGCTAGAACGAATGAACGGGAAGAGTTAAAACGAAAGGACGGAAGTAACAAATGAAAGGGGAGAGGAGAAACGAAAAGAAAGTAACGAATGAAAGGAAAGAGTTGAATGGAAGGAGTGACCGAACGGAAGGGAAGAGTTGAAACGAAAGGGAAGAAGTGGCAAACATTGAGTTGAAACGGGAGGAAGGACGCAACGAAATGAACAACTTTAAACGAAGGGAAGCAGCAACGAACGGGATGTAAGGGTTGAAACGAAAGGAAGGAAGTACCGAGTGAAAGGGAAGAGTTGAAACGAAAGGAACAAGGTAAGGAATGGAAGGGAAGCGTTGAAAGGGGGGAACGACGAACGGAAAGAAGGAGTTGAAACGAAAGGAAGGAAGTAACGAATGGAAGGGAAGAGTAGCAACGAAAGGAACGATGTAGCAAATGGAAAGGAAGCGTGAAACGAAAGGAAAGAAGTAGCGAACGGGGGATAAGAGTTTCCAACCATATTGATGCTACGCTCTGATACACTCTGAGACCTTCAATTTTTTACATTGGTTGCATTGATGCTACTCCCCAACATCTTCTTTCAGTCTTCTAACATGGATGTTGCTACGCTCTAAGATCTACCCAAATTCCAAATGTTCTACCATCATTGATGCTATGCTCTAAGATCTTGTCTTCAATTTCCAAACGTCATTGATGCAACTGATCTTCAATTTTCTACTATCATTGATGCTACGCTTTCAGATCTTCGCTTCACTTTTCTAACATCATCGATGCTGCGCTCTAAGATCTTCTCTTGATTTTTCTCGCACACTACCCGCATTGATGCTATGCTTTTAGATTTTTCATGTTTCTCCCCATTTTGCCATCATAGATGCTACGCTCTAAGATCTTCTCTTCAATTTCAAACATGCTTGATGTTACGCTCTAAGATATTCTCTTCGATTGTCCAACATACTTGAGGCTACGTTCCAAGATCTTTTCTTCAATTTTCAAACATCAGTGATGCTACGCTCCAAGATCGTTTCTTCAATTTTCTAACATCATTGAGGCGAAGCTCTAGATCTTTCTAACATCGCTCTAGTCACAGTCGCCACAGTTGCCACGGTCGCCATGCTGTACAGGAAGAGAACATGTCCCGAGTCCCGACGAAGTGATTTGTTCAACTTCCGGAATTGAGCTTCTCAGCCCATGTCTGAGTGGATGGTTTTGGACACAACTTTTGTTTGTCACTAAGTAAAAGTGTAAGTCAATAGTAGTCAATATCCAATCATCCAATCGGCTGACATATTTAATGGAATCCATATGTTATGTAACTATTGATAAATCCACATTTACGAACCATCACAGCCAGATCAGATCGGAATGATGGAGGGCTAGGCACCTTGATGTTACTTGTGCTCACATTTTTTGCATATCTGGCAATGGACATCTAAGAGGTCTACGAGCAAACATGGGTTTCTCCAGAACTGCGGGCGTACCCGGAACTTGCAATGCTGATGGCGACTTGAGTTTCTATCTTTTTCCATAGCATTATCTCATCATCCCCAGATTGATTGGGATTGTCGGTTCTTAACTCCACTTGAGCATTTGGCAGCCATCTCCTATCCAAGGAGAGCATTATCCGATTGCAGAGACTTCCTGCCGCTGGGACAATATCGCAACAACGGGTCGAACCTGAAATGTCAAATGAATGTTGGGTTTATATGGGATTATATCGGAATATTTTAGGATGATCATGGAGGATATATACTTATCTTGTGTTTATCAGACTTGGTGTGCGATATGAATTCTGTTTGGAGCCGGGCTGAAGGCTTCCTGGAGCTTTGGCAGCTGCCCAATGA